ACCCTATCTGGAAGAAAAGACCAAAATGGATATCAGAAGAGATTCTGGAACTTGCTCTTGAATTGACAGTAGATAAAGCGAAAGGAAGAAATATTGAAATAAAAGCTGAACAGAAGATTTCAAAGGGCAGCTTGAGAAGACAAAATAAGGTATTATAAAGAAATGTGCGAAGACTTGGAGTTAGAAAACCAAAAGAGAAAAGCATACTCAGCATTTCTCAAGCTGAAAGAGCTGAAGAAAAAATTCAAGCCCTGAATTACAATATTGAAGGATTCTATGGGCAATATATTTAATGATGTTGTTGTTGTTGTTAGGTGCTGTCAAGTTGTCTCGACTCATAGAGAACTTTTGCACAACAGAACAAAACACTGCCTGGTCCTGCACCAGCTCCAGAATCCTTGCTATGCTTGAGCCCATTGCCACAGCCACTGTGTCAATCCATCTCGTTGAGGACCTTCCCCCCTTTCATCAATTGAATGATGCAGGAAGCATGAAAAGAAGATGGAATGAATACAGAGTCACTATACCAAAAAGAATTGGTAGAGTTCAATCATTTCAGAAAGTAGCATATAATCAAGAACCAATGGTTTAGAATGAAGAAGTTTAAGTGCACTGAAGGAATTGGAGGAAAATAAGACTCCAGGAATTGATAGAATGCTCAATGAGATGTAACAATAAATGGGCATCACTCTGGAGGCACTTAATCATTGTGGTAGTTAAGGTTGTGTGTCAACTCGGTTGGGCCTGGTTTCGAGTGGCTGGGCAGCTGGATGTTGTTATTGCCCATGATGAGACTGGTAATCAAATCCATGGTGGAATCTACTGGAGCAGCTGAGCAGCTGCTTTGGGATGTGGTCTGCTTCCAGTATCAAGGGAGAAGTTTTCAGAAAGGTTTTGGCAGTTTTTTGGCATGCTTGGACCTTGAGTGTAGCCAAGTTTTCATTCAGTAGCCTGCTATCCCTTGCTGATCTTAGGACTTCTTCTGACTTGAATCAATACCCTGCGATGTTGTTTGGTAATATTGGGACTGTGTCTTTTTACCTGTTGACCTTGGGTTTGTCACCTTCAACAGCCAGCAGCTGTCTGAGTGAATAAAGCCTCCAGCTCCAGTGGGCCAGGAGCAAGAGGCAGAGCCCAAGGTCAAGGGGCTTTCACCCAGCCCCTAGAGCCTGGCACTATGAACTTGGACTTCTAGCCTCCAAAACTGTAAGAGAGTAAACTCCTGTTTGTTAAAGCCATCCCATTTGTGGTATTTTCTGTTAGAGCAGTATGAAGTAACCAAAACATTCATCTATGCTAGGAAATTTGGAAGACAGCTACCTGGCCAACTGAATGGAAGAGATCCATACCGTGTCCATTCTAAAGAAAGTGGACCTGATAGAATGTGGAAATTATTGAAGAATATCATTAATATCACATGCAAATAAAAATTTGCTGAAGATATTTCAAAAATGATTGTAGGAGTATATTGACAGGGAACTTCCAGAAATGCAAGCTGGATTCAGAAGAGGACTTGATAAGAGGGATATCATTGCTGATGTCAGATCAATCCTATGAAAGCAAAGAATACCAGAAAGATGGTTACCTGGGTTGTATTGACTATCAAAGGCATTCAATCATGTGGTTCATAAAAAATTATGGATAAAATTGCAAAGAATGGGAATTCCAGAACACTTAATTGTGCTTGTGAGGAATCTCTACACAGACCAAGAAGCTGTTGTTCAAATAGAGCAAGGGAATGCTGAATATTTTAAAATCATGAAGGGCATGTGTCTGAGTTGTATTCTTTCATCATACTTATTCAAGCTCTATGCTGAGCAAATAATAAGAGGAGGAGGAATAAATGAAGAACACAACATTGTAATTGGAGGAAGACTCGTTAACAACCTGTGATAGGCAGATGACACAACAGTTCTTGTGGAAATTGAAGACTTGAAATACTGATGAAGATCAAAGACTACATACTTCAGTAAGGATTACACCTCAACATAAAGAAAATGAAAATCTTCACAACTAGACCAATAGGCACATCACAATAAATGGAGAAATGATGGAAGTTGTCAGGCATTTCATTTTACTTGGATCCACAATCAACACTCATGGAAATAGCAGTCAAGAAATAACACATCATATTGCACTGGGAAAATCTGCTGCAAAAGACCATTTTAAAGTGTTAAAGAGCAAAGATGTCACTTTGAAGACTAAGGTAAGCCTAACCCAAGCTTATTTTGAATCACCTCATACACATGTGGAATCTGGACGATGAATAAGGAAGACCAAAGAATAGTTGATTCCTTTGAATTGTGGTTTTGGCAAAGAATATTGAAAATACCATAGATTTCCAGAAGAATGAACAAATCTATTAAGGAAGAAGTGCAGCTGAAATGCTCCTGGGAAGAGAGAATGGACAGATTTCATCTCACCCACTTTGATCATGTGGTCAGAAGGGACCATTCCCTGTAGAAGGATATCATGCTTGGTAAAGTAGAGGGTCAGGAAAAAAGCAGAAGACCCTCAACAAGATGATTGACACAGTGGAAGCAACAATGGGCTCAAGCATAGCAAGGATTTTGAGGATGATGCAGGACAGGGGAGTGTTTCATTCCGTTGTACACAGGATCACTATGAGTCAGAATCAACTTGCCATCATCTAACAACAATAACAAGTATGGTGGAATTTGAAGGGAATGTCAGCAGATTTACTCCAGTTCTATACTTTACAAGCTGGGATGCTAGAGGTTGACTTCCTAAAGCCATACATGAAATTAATGATGAAACCATTCAGTAAAGAAGAAGGCAAAAATCCCATGCATCTATCCATCCATCTTTAAAATTCATTTATTCAACAAGTATTTATTAAATACTTGTGTTTGCTATACACTGAGAATGTGATGGTGAGCAAAACTAGACATAGTCCTGCCCTTATGGTGATTGGAGATAACATTAGGAGGTGGAGAAGCATTAATAAATTAGTCACTCAAGTACATATGTGATTACAAACAAGGGCATGTACTCTAGCATAATTTTATGGAAATGTGTGATGAGGAACCTGATCTAAGTCAGAGTGTTAGGAAGGGCATCTCCAAGGATGTGGTTTTTTATTTTGGCACTAATTAATGAAAAGGAGTTATGAGGAAAAGAGAGAGGGAAGAAAGAAGTGTAAAATCCCTAGAGGTAGGACGGATTGTCTGAGGAACAGAAATCCCAGCATGTCTGGCACTTTGGAAGTAAGGAGAAAAGGGCAGGAAGGGACTGAAGGGGTAGGTGGGCCCAGGCCAGCACTACCATTAGTCCAGGTTATCATTAGTCTTTATACTAAGAATCTTGGAAAGCCATTCGAAGGATTTTAGCAGGATGAAGAAGTTACAGCTGTCATCATTGATAGCTTTATTTTCACCTGGGCAAAAGTCAGATTCATAAAGGCTATTCAAAATACAGGACATTTCCATACATTTTGGTTCTGTAAATCAAGTGAGGAAGGGGACTAGCAGTAAAGTAGGAGGAAGGGGTATGCCCATATGGGCATGAGTGAGAGAGACTGGAAGTTGGTTTCTGTGCTAATTCATCTGGAGTATTCTTCTGAGAATGTAGTCGTGTTTAAAAAACACAATTGTTTTGGAGGATTCAAATATAGGTGAAAATTGCTTATGGTATGGAAAATCTCCACTCTTGGAATTTCTAGGAAAATGTGTGTAGATGATAGTTTTCTTTTCTGCTGGTCTCCTTTCTCTGTAAAAAATCCCCAGTAAGGCTCAGAAACTGTCTACATTCTCTATTGCCTTTCTTGAAACTTTTAAGACAAAGTGCTAATCTCATCTGCGCAAGGGGAATACATACTGATAAACCAATAGAAATCCAAGTTAAGCATATGTGTTTTTGTTGCTATGTGCCATCGAGTCGGACCCAACTCATAGCGACCCATCTTTGGGTTTCCACAGTGGCATCACTACGGAAGTAGATTGCCCAACCTTCCTTCTGAAGAGTGGCTGGTGGGTTTGAACCACCAGCCTTCTGGTTAGCAGTCAAAACAGTAAACTACTTACAAGGATGGGGTTTTAATCAAACCCACTATTCAGCAATGCTTAGAGTTTTTGGAATCTTATCCTCTTTCTCAAAAACTTCTAACACTTCTTCACTGTCTGAAGAACAAATCCCAGTTGCTCTGTTGGTCTATATCTTTCCTTCTCCTGTATACTCCGCTAATTTTCCTTTACTGTCAATCAAACTACCTCTCTAAGCTTAATTTACCCTTCTGTAAAAAATGTGATAATACTCAGAGTCTTAGTTATATAGTACTATTATAACAGAAATACCATAAGTGAATGTCTGTAATAAACAGAAATTTATTCTCTCAAGGTTTATGAGGCTAGAAGCCTGAATTCAGGGCACCAGCTCTAGGGGAAGGTGTTTTTTCTCTGTTGCTTCTGGAGAAAAGTCCCTGTCCCCTTTCAACGTCTGTGAGTCCAGTGTTCCTTGGAGATCTCTATATGTCTTGGCATCAATCTTTCCCTGAGTCAAGGAGGTTCTCAGCAAAAGGATTCCAGATCTAAAGGACATGCTTTTCTCCTGGCTCTTCATTCTTGGTAGCTCTGATGTCGCCTTTTCTCTGCTCATTTCTCTCTCCTTTTATTTCTTGTAAGATAAAAGGTGATGCAAGCCCCATGCCAAAGAAGCTCCCCTTACATTGATTGATTAGCCTGTGACCTGAGTAAGGGTGTTGCATCCCACCCTAATCCCCTTACAACTGGCTGGCTGACCACATCATGAGGGATGACTGCATCATTACATAACTACCAAGCCACTGAGAATCATGGCCAGATAAGTTGTTGCATATTTTGAGGGATACAATTCCAAACAACAGTTATGAGACAAGAGTTTAGTTAGTGCTTAGCAAATGGTAGATGCTTTCATAAGATGAGAAGAACAGATGAGGCTATGCTGATAATTATTTAAATATTAGCTTTCTTTTTAATAATAATGTGTTTCTTTCTCCTCCAAAGTCCATAATGATGAAGGAACTACGACAAGAGCACTCACACTGAAGGATATTTTAAATGGCACATTTTCATATAAAACATTTTTTCCAAACTGGATTTCAGGTGAGTTGTTTATTTATCTTTCTGTTTGCTTTATTTTAAATAAAATTTATGTGTCTTTTTGTGCTAAAATGGCATGGTAACTGAAGCCATATCAGTTGAAATAGACAAAAATAGCAACTATCTGTATAATTCAATTGTCCACTGAAGTACTTTTGACAGAACTACCCAAAGTGGATTTAACCAATAGGAGCTCTGGTAGCATAGTGTCTAAAACACTTGACTGCTAACCAGAAGGCTGGTGGTTCAAACCCACCAGCCACTCCTTGGAAGGAAGGTTGGGCAATCTACTTCCATAGTGATACCACCTCAGAAACCCAAGGGGTTGCTTTGAGTTGGGTCTGACTCGATGGCACATAACAACAACAACAATGAAGACAAGAAGTCAACAATGAAGACAAAAGTTGAGAATGCGTTGTTGAAATAACTTGAGTGTATAGCGTAGCTTTCCAGGATGGGATATATGTACCTATTTAAGAGAAACCATGAGAATTTTACCAAAAGATAATTTTTTTATTGTTAAACTGGATAATTTGAAAAACAGGCAAAATGCCTACCTGACAACAAAACATTTAAAGCTCATAAAACTGTATTTACTTACAGTTTTTTAAAATCGGATGATCTAGAATCAGTCTAATCATACAAATGGAGAGATCAAACAAATTATTTGTGACATTATAGCTGTATATCTAAAATACCACTAATAAAATAGAATATTTTAATAGAAAATAAATGTATATAGAATTGGATTTGAACTAACTCTAACACAATCCAAATACAATCTCTTATTTGACCAGTTTTTGAAGTCATGATACATGCTACAACATGGATGAACCTTGAAAAAATTACACTGAGTGAAATTAGTCACAAAATGACAAATATTGTATGACCCAGCTTATATAAAATACCTAGAATAGGTAATATGTCAGAACAAATGTTTATTAGTGGTTACTAGGGGCAGGCAGGCCAGAGGGACTGGGGAAGAAGGACCCACTGCTTAAGGGACGCTGAGCTTTTGTTATGGGTGTTAGAATAATTTTGAAATGGATAGCGCTGACAGTTGTACAACATGATGAATATAATCACTGTCACTGAGTTGTACATGTAAAAAAAGTTGAATCAGCAAATGTTTTGTAATGTACATTTTTACCAAATAAAAAAAAAGGAAATACTATTTTTAACCAGTTTATGCCATTGGTACCATAAACAAAACAAATTTTTTTACTAAACCTTCTGAACTTGTTAGACTAGGGCTATTAGCAAATATGGTCTCTTTGTGTAAAGTAGAGAAAGGCATTCTTTCCTCCTTTCAATATCAACTTATTTTAAATCTGACAAACATAAGACAGGGTGGAAAAACACAGTAAGTCTGAAATAAAAGAAGTTTCTTTTTGTTATAAACGTATCCCTGTTAAAGAAGTCCATTTCAAGGTTGTTTTATTTTTATTTTTTCCTTTTTTGTTTAAAGGACAAGAGTATCTTCATCAATCTACAGATAATAATGTAGTATTTTATAATATTGAAACAGGAGAATCATATACCATTTTGAGTAATATCACCCTGGTATGTATCCATCATCATCTTCTTCCTCAGAAACCTTTGCCAGGTCTTCACTGACCAAGGCACAGAGTCCAAACTCCTTAACACCTGATCTGATCTCAATCTGCCTTCCCTGCTCCATCCTCAATTCAAGTTCTCTTCCAGTTCTTTCTTCCTGCCACATTAGACCACTTACCTGGTTCTAAATCACGTATTGTCTTTCCTCCTCCTTGGAAATATTAGGCCATGAAACTCAGTCTTTGGAGTGAGAAAATCTAAGTTCAAATCCTAACTCTCTCACTTAACTAGTTGTGGAAACTTGTAAGGACCACACTATATCAACCTCACTATGCCATAGTTTTCTCATCTATTAAGTGGGAATAATAATAATACCTCTTCGTATTGTTTTAAGAATTAAGTAAAATATCATGTGTAAGAGAATAAATGCTCTTATTTATTAGAGCCTAACAGAATAAATGCTCAATAAATGGTAGTTATTATATATAGAAACATGATATTCTGCCTTCCTGGACTCTCAATCCTATCACTTTATTCACCTTGGAACAGTGACAAAGCTTTCAGGCCAAGCTCAGATGATACTCACCTCCTCTATGGAATCAGGAGTTCTCTCATTTAGATTCAGTTACTTCTTCCTTATTGGTCTCCTAACTGTATATTTGTATTTCTTTTATGGTACTTTCCAACTTGTAATATATTACTTATTTACAAATTTAACATTATAAGCTTCTTGAGATCACAAAGTATATTTCCTTTATTTACCTATGGTAGCTAGTAAATAACTGTATACAGCAAGTACTATATAAGCATTTTTTGGAATTATATTGAAATTATATGTATGTACAGATCTACCAATGATACGAGATTCTTTTAAAACTGCAAATTTACATTGCTTTATTTTATTCTATTCTCTGAACAATTTCTTCATAATTTCAGAAAAGCGTGAATGCTTCAAATTATGGCTTATCACCTGATCGACAATTTGCATATCTTGAAAGTGATTATTCAAAGGTATTTTTAATTAATTAAAATTGGGTGTATCTGATTATATCTCTCTCCTACTTGTCCACAGGTGGGTTTATAAAAGTAAAAGGAAATAAGAATCTGTCTTTACCTCTAAATATACAAGATGTTAATGTAGATTCTAGATGAGCCCAAGAAGCCTAAGTGAAAGATGTAATTATCTGGTCATCATCACCTAGTAGAAACTACTTTCCATCGGGGGAAGAAATTTCATTTAGGAGCACTGATATTGACCAGAGAAGGGAGAGTTATTCTTGTATTCCTGAAGCTATTTGACATCCTAGACCACTTAATTAATTCTCACATATTTTAACCTTATAAAAGATTATTATTACTGGAAATGGAAATTTCAAGGAGTAGTTTGTTTAATTTACTTGCTCAAACAGGACAATATACGGTCACTGGCAGAGCCAGGGTTTAAATTTCTGCCTTCCAAAATCTTGCTTAGAAGTATTCTCACCAAACTCCACTACTGTTGTTTTATTCCCCCTCCCACAATGAAGTTGTAGAGGGAAGCTAATTGTTTTAGGTTTTTTGTGCTGCTCTAACAGAAAATATCACAAATGGATGGCTTGAACAAACAGAAGTTTATTTTTTTTTTTACAGTTTAGTAGGCTAGAAGTCCGAGTTCAAAGTGCCAGCTGTAGGGGCTGGGTGAAAGCCCCTTGACCTTGGGCTTCAGCTCTGCCTCTTACTCCCAGCCCACTGAAGATGGAGGCTTTTCTTAACTCAGGCAGCTGCTAGCTACTGAGGCTGACAAACCCAAGGTCTACAAAAAAATGGCACAGTTCCAAGATTACCAAACAACACAGCAGTTCATTAGTTCAAGTCCTGAGACAGTCCCAAGATCAGCAGAAAACATGACAGGCTGCTGACTGAAAACTCAGTTGCATGCAGAGTCCAAGTGTGCCAAAAGCTACAGAGACATTTCCCAAAACTTCTCCTTATACACTGGAAGCAGACCATGTCGCTAAGGCAGCTACTCAGCTGCTCCAGTAGATTCCACCATGGAGTTGGATTACCAATCTCATCATGGAAAATACTACTTCCAGCTGCCCAGCCCCTCAAAAACAGGCCCAGCAAAGTTGACATGTAATCTTAACTACCACACTAATCATCTTATTTTTTTCTACTTATACCAATAATGGACAAAATCATTGACTATCAAATTAAACTTATAATTATTAATTTCAGATCAAGAGCTTTTTATTTTAGCTCCTATTTTTCCTATCATATTTGAGATGCAAATCACCCTTGATATACAGAATGAAAAATCAACAGCATCCCTCTCTGGCTGTACTGTCAGCTGATTGTCCTCCAGCAGATAGGTAGGCACCAGGTCTTGGTCAAGATGTGTTTCAACCTGAAGGAACTTTTATGTTAAGAATTTGAAAGACTATAAAGAAAGCCAGAACTCACAATAAATACTTGAATCATTTACTAACCACAACACAAATACCCTTGTGGGGGGAGTCTTTTTTTTTTTTTTTTAAAGAAAGAATTAGAAGCCAAACATCTCCCCATTTATTTTTCAATTTCTATTATTTAAAAAACTATACTCATTTACAGAAAGACAAGAGTTTTTGCAACAAAACATGTTGAATGAAATTCTCTGTGCCCAGTTTTAAAGGGCAAAATTATAATAAATTACCCAGGTGCAGGGCATCCTATGTATGAGAGGCTGGGAAATTTCTTAGAGTGGGCTGTATCAAGGAAAACCTTTTCACATGAGGGAATGTCTTTGGATATGGTTTTTATGAAGTAAAGATGGAATCACTGCTGAGAGTAGGTCTGGAACACCAACAAACAGCACAAAGACCAAAAGAAAACCAAACTCACTGCTGTCGAGTTGATTCTGACTCACACCGACCCCTCCTTGGTTTTCCAAGGTGGTATCTCTGTGGAAGTAGATTGCCCACTCTTCCTTCCAAGGAGTGGCTGGTGGGTTTGAACCGCCAGCCTTCTGGTTAGCAGTCAAGTGCCTTAGGCACTATGCTACTAGAGCTCCCATAAGAGCCACAGTCAAACTCTTGGAACAACTCATTTGGAATTGAAACTTATCTTTCCTAATGCCTGTAAAAATGATTCTTTTATAATTCTAAACCAGTAGTAATAGTTGTTGTTGTTAATTGCCCTCAGGTCAGTTCCAACTCATAGGGAGGCTATCAGTACACAACAGGAGGAAACACGTATGTTTGAACCCATTGTTGGAGTCACTATGTTAATCCGTCTCGTTGAGGGTCTCCCTCTTTTTTTACTGACCCTCTATTTTACCAAGCATGATGTCCTTCTCAGGGACTGGTCTCTCCTGATAATATGTCCAAACTATGTGAGGCAAGACTCACCATCATTACTTCTAAGGAACATTCTGGCTATACTTCTTCCAAGACAGATTTGTTCATTCTTCTTACAATCCATGGTATATTCAATATTCTTTGCCAACACCATAATTCAAATGCATCAATTCTTCTTCGGTCTTCCTTATTCATTGTCCAGTTTCCACATGCATGTGACATGATTGAAAATATCATGGCTTGAGACAGGCACACCTTAGTCCTCAAAGTGACATCTATGCTTTTTAACACTTTAACAAGATCTTTAGTAACAGATTTACCCAATGAAATATATCATTTGATTTCTTGACTGCTGCTTCCATGGGTGTTGATTGTGGACCCAAGTAAAATAAAATCCTTGACAACTTCTATCTTTTTTTTATTATTCTTATTTCTTTTTTTTTTTTTTTTTTCTGTTTATCACCATGTTGCTTATTGGTCCAGTTGTGACAGTTTTAGTTTTCTTTATGTTGAGGTGTAATCCATATTGTGGTCTTTGATCTTCATCAGTAAGTGCTTCAAGTTTTCTTCACTTTCAGCAAGCAAGGTTGTGTCATCTGCATATTACAGGTTGTTAATGAGTCTTCCTCCAATCCTGATGCTATATTCTTCTTCATATAGTCCCGCTTCTTGAATTACTTACTTAGCATACAGATGGAATAAATATGGTGAAAAGATACAGCCAAGTGTTCTGGAGTTCCCATTCCTCACAATATTATCCGTAATTTGTTATGATCCACACACTGGAATGACTTTCAATAGTTAGCAAAACACAGGTAACATCTTCCTGATATTTTTTGCTTTCAGCCAATATCTATTTCACATCAATAATGATATCCCTTGTTCTATGCCTTCTTCTGAATCCAGCTTCAATGTCTGGCAGTTCTCTGTTGATGTACTGCTACAACCATTTTTGAATTATCTTCAGCAAAATTTTACTTTCATGTAATATTAATGATATGGTTTCATAGTTTCCACATTCTGTTGGACCACCTTTTTCTGGAATGGGCATAAATATGGATGTCTTCCAGTAGATTGGCCAAGTAGCTATCTTCCAAACGTCTTACCAAAAACAAGCGAGAGCCTTCAGATCTGTATCCATTTGTTGAAACATCTCAATGGGTATTCTGTCAATTCTCGGAGCCTTGTTTTTCACCAATTCCTTCAGTCCAGTTTGGATTTCTTCCTTCAGTACCACCAGTTCTTGATCATATGCTACCTCCTAAAATGGTTGAATGTCAACCAGTTCTTTTTGGTACAGTGACTGTGCGTATTTTCTCCATCCCCTTTTGATGCTTTCTGCATCATTCAATATTTTGCCATTAGAATTTTTCAGTATTGCAACTCGAACCTTAAATTTTTTCTTCAGTTCTTTCAGCTAGAGAAATGCCAAGCATGTTATTTCCTTTTGATTTTCCATCTCTAGGTCTTTGCACATTCCATTATAGTTTACTTTCTCCTCTCAAGCTACCCTTTGAAATCTTCTATCCAGCTCTTTTATGTCATCATTTCTTCCTTATGCTTTAGCTACTTTGAGTTCAAGAGCAAGTTTCAGAGTCTCTTCTGACATCCATCCATTTTGGTCTTTTCTTCCTTTCCTGTCTCTTTAATGACCTTTTTCTTTCTTCATGTTTAATGTCAGCCCACAACTCTCTGGTCTTCAACCATTAGTGTTTAGTGTATCAAATTTACTGAGATATTCATCTTGAGATGTTCATCTTGAGATGTTCATCTTGAGATGTTCTTTAAATCCAGGTGAGATATACTCAAAGTCATACATTGGCTATCGTGGACTTGTTTTATTTTTCTTCAGCTTCAACTTGAACTTGAATATGAGAAATTGATGGTCTGTCTCAGAGTCAGCCCTTGGAGTTGTTCTGACCGATGACATTGAGCTTCTCCATAGCCTCTTTCCACAGATATAGTCAATTTGATTCCTGTTTATTCTATATGGCAAGGTCCATGTGTATAGTTGCTTTATGTTGTTGAAAAAAATATTTCTAATGAGTAGGTCATTGGTCTTGCAAAATTCTATCATGTAATCTCCATCATCATTTCTATCACCAAGGCCATATTTTCCAGCTACTGGTCCTTTGCCTTTGTTTCCAGTTTTCTCATTCCAATCACTAGTAATTATTAATGCATCGTGATTGCAAGTCTAATCAATTTTAGACCGCAGAAGTTGGTAAAAATCTTCAATTTCTTCCTCTTTGACATTAGTGGTTGGTGCTTAAATTTGTGTAATAGTCATATTAACTTGCTTTTCTTGTGGGGGTATGAATATTACCCTGTCAGTGACAGCATTTTCCTTCAGGATAGATCTTTAATGATGAATGTGATATCATTCGTATTTAATTTTTCATTTCTTGCATGATAGACCATGTGATTGTCTGATTCAAAATGGCCAACACCAGTCCATTTCAGCTCACAAATACTAGGATATCAATCTTCAAGTGTTCCATTTCATTTTGAACAACTTCCAGTTTTCCTAGATTCATACTTTGTGTATTTTATGTTCCTATTACTAATGAATAAGGACCTCTGGTGGCATAGTTGTTAAAACATTCGACAGCTAACCAAATGGTCAGCAGTTCCAACCCATCAGTTGTTCCATGGGAGAAAGATGAGACAGTCTGCTTCTGTAAAGATTTACAGCTTTGGGAAGGCTATGGGGTAGTTCTATTCTGTCCTATTGAGTTGATATGAGATGGAATTGACTTGGTGGCAGTGGCTTTGGCTTTTGTGGTTACTATTAATGGATGTTTGGAGCTATTTCTTCTCATTTTGAGTTATGCCACATCAGTAAATGGAGATCCTGAAATCTCTACTCCATCCACACCATTAAGGACTACTCTACTTTGAGGAGGCAGCTTTTCTCCAGTCATATTTTGAATGCCATATTCCAAGCTGAGAGGCTTGTGTCCTGGCACAATATCAGAGAATGTTCTGCTGCTTTTCATAAGGTTTTCACTGACCATTTTCTTTAGTAGATCTACAGGTCCTTCCTCCTAATCTGTCTTAGTCTGGAAGTTGTGCTGAAACTTGCTCACCAAGGGTGACACTGCTGGACTTTAAATACCAGTGGCATAGCTTTTAATACCACAGGAACTACTGCACAACAAACTGACAGCAAGTGGTAGAAATCTGTGATGGATGATGTTAATATTTATATATTATGAATAATGTTTATTTAAAATCATAATTTGTCATTATCTCTCTTCTTTCTGACAGCTTTGGAGATACTCTTACACTGCAACATATCACATCTATGATCTTAGAAATGGGTAAAACTTCATGTTTATTTATTAATACTACTTAAAGCTAATATCTAGACTTTTTCTTGCCAATTCTGGTTTGAGGTTAAAATTACATTATCTTGTTACTGATTTATTCACTTATTTTTTTTGTATTTAACTCAGGAGATTCAATGAAATAATTATATGGGAAACTCATCTCTTTTTAGTTGACTGATATTTTGTATTTTTATGTCCAATATTTACAACAGAAAATAAAAATAAATAGAAGAATGTGCAGGTAGGTGAAGGATTAATGGAAATAGTTACTGGCTGAAAGAACCTATGTAAATGTTCAAAGGGACCATGGAGAGTTTGAGTAACTCAAAGTAGGCCAGTTTAGTTGAAACTGGAGGAGTGCTGTGGCTGGTGGGAGGTGGTGTAAGATTGGGAAGGAGGCAAGGCCAGGAAGCATGAGCTAAATAATAATAAGGAACCATTAAAAAGAGTTTAGATCTCATTCTGACAGCAATAGGAAATCACTGAAGGGTTTTTAATAGGAAATGACATGATCAGATTTGCTCTTTAGAAAAATCACTCTGGCTAAGTATGGACAATGAATTGGTTTAGTTACTCATCTTAATGTGATATCCTCTTTGCTGTTATATAAAATGGAAAAATAGTTACATGGCTTAAGGAAAAATCTTCTGGTCTATTTCCCCTTTTGTCAAGCAAGAGTGCAAAACATCAAAAAAAAATTATCTATCTACTTCTTTTAATTGTTCAGATAAAGAATAACACTGATCTCTTTAAATGGTCCAATTAAGAAATAGGAACTGCTTCTTAAAGTAGAATCTAAATCCTGCTAATACATTCTGAGTCTCTTTGTAACCACATCATCACCTAATTCATGAAGTATTCATTGAGCATCTCTTATGTGTAAGACATAGATATGGGAATACAAATGAGACCAAACCACCAACTGTACTCACAAGAAAACTTCAGTGAGGTCGAACTTAGTCTTTCAACAAAATTTCTTAATATTTTAATCATTTCCTTGTTTTTCTTTTAATCATTTTGAAATAGTCCATGTACACCCTAGGTTGAGGTACAACAAACTGAAGAAGATTCTTAAATATGATCAATACTCATATTTTATTCATGGATTTTATGAGCTTATGGCCAAGACTCATGTTTAATATTTAGCTGTTGTGCTATATTAATTTAATCAGCCCCACAGATTATTATTTTTCTCCTGCACAACTATAGTTTGTCACATTGCTTTGTTGTCAAGTAAATATAGTACAGTTTAGAAAGTGAAAGATGGAAAATTTGTTGAGATTCAGAACAAGACTGAATACCACTATTTGGAAGTCTACCATGATTTGGAAGTGAAGAAAATTATAGACTCAAGGAAACAAGAAACAATTAGTCCAAAGGACTGAGACCAGAAGAACTAGCTACCACTGCTTTGATCAGGATCAAAACAGAATGTCCTGGATAGAGTGGTAGAAAGACGTGGAAGAAAATTCAAAGTTATAAAAAAGACCAGACTTTCTAGTCTGATAGAGATTATGACTCTTAGACATCTTTCAAACCTTGAACTGAAATCACTCCCAGAAATCATCTTTCATCCTAACAATAGACAGGCCTATAAAGTGAATAATAACACCTATGAGGAATGTGTTTCTTGGAACAATCAAATATGAGACCAAAAGAGCAGCATTTGCCCAACAACAAAGTTCAGAAGTCAGGAAGGGCAGGAGAGATGGGGGAATGGAAATGAGGAATATAGGGAAGAAGAGGGATGTGTACTATAATATTGAGGGAATTGTAACTACCGTCACAAAACAAAATGTACATAAATTGTTGAATTGGAAACTAATTTGCTCTGTAAACTTTCACCCAAATCACAATAAAGTGTTAAAAAAAAAAAAAATCTACCACAGAGAAAATGAAGATAGCTCTGGTTTCAATCTACAGGAGGAAGTCTGAGGAGAGGGCAACCATAGTTAACCAGCCACTCTAACCTTCTTTCATACTGTTAAAGACATAGAAAACACAAGAAAAGATTGCAAAGGGGACTTATCAACTCTTGAAAAGACATGCACTGAGATTTTCAGCTTGGTACTCTCTTTATGAGTGCCTAGATGATTCCATAGCATAAGGAAAAGTAAGGCATTGTTACAATATCAAAGGAAACATGAGAACTGGCACAAGGTAGAAAGGTGAAACAGGTGAAGAACCAACTTCTTCTCTCCTGGGTCATTCATTTCCCTGTGACCTCACATCTCTTTCAAGTATATGAGCCTGGGGCTCATGTACTGTCCTCACTGCAGTACTGATGGTCTCCCCCAAGGGGCAACACTTTCTCCAATCAAAACTGGTCTGTCCTTATGCTATGTTCTCCCAGTACTCTCTAGGCCTCAAGCTACACAACCTAATATGTTAAATCAATGTGAAATGTGGCATAGGTCTTCACAGGTGCTTATACTGTAAAGCAGTGGGAAAGGTAGACATGTCAGGCACAGGTTAGGTCTAGTTAGAGAGAGATTATTTTGAAGCAAGAGAGTCTTTCTGGAGGCTCCTCAGATTATTCCTTGGAATCATGTCTTACTTTGCTTCCCCCATAAAGCTAGTCTCGATGAAACTATTGAAATAATTTTCAAGGAGAAAAAAGTCAAAACTTAAGCATAACATCTTATGATTCTCTTATGTAAAATTCTGAACATATTCTTACTGAAGAGCTAATGCTCCACAATACAAGTCAGTCAGCTGAGTATTTGCAGGATGACTTTAAGCATCAAAGTGAGATTTTTGGCCAATGGGATATTTGAAATTTCCCCATGGGTGGAGGACTTTGCAAGCTTAAGGCGTACTGCCCAGTATACGATCTGTTTTTTCAGTTTAGCTTGAGATCAGATGTTCCTTTCCTTTTCTGATTTCAAGTCAGATCCCTGGGGAGATTGTTAAATGGCATCTTAGTTTCCAAAATTTGAAATGCATATACATTTGCAGAGATAGGGGCTGGAAATGAGAATGTGAAAGTGTACATATTAAACTTCAGTACAATTATAGAATTTCAGAGCTACAAGTCACTTTTGTGGCCATCACAGTCTGGTGTGTGCAAAGTTTAGTCTTAGGGGTTAAAATACTTGAGTTTAATTAGGAATCTACCAAGAACTAGTAATATGACTGTTATGGGTTGAATTATGTCCCCTAAAAATATGTGTTGGAAAGCCTGTGCTTATAAACCCATTTGGGAATGGATCATCTTTGTTATGTTAATGAGCCAAGATTAGTGTAAGGAGTGTCTTGAGTCAATCTCTTTTGAGATATAAAAATGATTAAACAAGCATTGGAGTAAGCAGAGATGGGGTAAGATAGATGCCAATACACACAGAGATTTCCCATTCTCCAAGGAAGGAGGAAGCAAAAGCTGAAGAGACAAGGGCCTCCTCCAGAGCCAACAGAAAGAGAAAGCCTTCCCCTCGAGCCAGCACTCTGAATTCAGACTTCTAGTCTCTTAAACTGCAAGAAAATAAATTTCTGGTGGTTAAAGCCGTTCCTCCTATTATTTCTTTTATAGTGGTACTATAGTGATATTGTTGTTGTTGTTGTTATGTGCCGTCGAGTCAGCCCCGACTCATAGCGACCCCTCCTTGGGTTTCCGAGGCAGTATCACTACGGAAGTAGGATTGCCCAACCTTCCTTCCGAGGAGTGGCTGGTGGGTTTGAACCGCCAGCCTTCTGGTTAGCAGTCAAGTGCCTTAGCCACTATGCTACCAGATAGTGATATTGGATAACTAAAACAGTGACCTTAACAAGGCATATTGTCTCTTTGTATCTCAAGTTTGTTTTCTATAAGAAGAGGGAATAGTATTAAATAATCTCTAGAGATGCTACCACTGTAACAGTCCATAAATCCTTCATTCAGTCACCTCACTATAATGGTCAGAAAACTGAGACCCAGAAAAGTTCAATGAACTGTCCAACATCATTTAAGTAACTAGTGGAAGGACTGTGGCTGTCATCAATGTCTCCACCCCCATTCCTACATTCTTCTCATTATATTTGTAAAATCAGAGGGAATGAGTCTTGATTGTTTTGCTTATTTTCTCTGTTTGTACAGGTTTTTTTTATTATTACTTTGCATTGAATGGCAATTTTTTTCTTGCACCCCCCCCCCCAGGGAGTTTGTAACAGGATATGAACTTCCTCGTCCAATTCAGTATTTATGCTGGTCGCCTGTTGGGAGTAAATTAGTAAGTGTTTAAATTATAGAAATGTTTAATCATTTAAATAAAAGAGGAGCCATTTGCTTTTGGCCTTTGTTAAATTTCTCTCCTTGAAAGAAAAAAAAAAAAAATGCATTCATGACTATTTTAGTGGTTAAAAATGGAAAGGGTTTTGATAAATTGAAACCCATCTGAGAATTCCGCAAAATCTCGAGCTCATGGATAGATTTCTTTAAATATCGCAGTTAAAAACTTTATCCTTATACTCAGCCAGAATGCGTTGTGCCAGAAAGCTCAGGAAAAATATGGTTTTCACAAGTTTCCCAGACTAGCTTCAGACAACATGAAATTTTGTCCAAGTCCTTATTTAAGGACTCTAAATAAAGATTAGATGTAGCTGGCTATTAATATTCGGAAATTTATTTGACTTTCTGGCAATATGCATAGTTATTTCTTTGATTAATAGGACAGTTAATATAATAGTAAAATTATTTTTATTATTTTTGTATATTATTATTGTTTTTTTTGTATAGACCTTAAAAATCACAATTGATGTTATTGTGGATGGAGTTTTTTAATTTGCCTATTAAAATATTTTAGTTGTGAATCTTTGTGAAGATATTAGGTGAATAATTAACAAAAATATGCAACTTTCATTGTATTGTTTATAGAGTTGTTTATTAATGACTCACCACTACTTCCAGGCATATGTCTATCGAAACAACATCTATTTGATACAAAGACCAGGAGACCCACCTTTTCAAATCACATATACTGGAAGAGAAAATAAAATATTTAATGGAATCCCAGACTGGGTTTATGAAGGTAATCTATGTCCTTTTTCTACTACTGCTACTTCAGGCTTTCATTTAAAAATAATCTCATACATTTAGTAGGATTCTGATAGGTGGTATCTTATTTAGATGAGTGGTATCATTTGTGAAAGCTGTGCTCAGGTTATAAACAGGTCCTGCAAACTCTAAAAAAACAAAATCTTTCTATCAGAAGACTGTGGAATTTATTTTCATAAACACTATACATAATGTTATAATAATAATTTATATTCAAAAAAGTATATGGTTCTCAGGCCCTGTATTAGTATATTTTCTCAGCTTTATTTCATGAGAAATGAATATTTTCTCCAAAAGGAATTATTTTTTAAAATATTATTTTATGGAAAATATAAAATAGGAGCTCTGGTGGCGTAGTGCCTAAGGCATTTGACTGCTAACCAGAAGGCTGGTGGTTCAAACCCACCAGCCACTCCTCGGAACAAAGGTTAGTCAATTTATTTCCATAGTGATACGGCCTCAGAAACCCAAGGAGGGGTCACTATGAGTGGGATCCGACGCAACGGCAGTGAGTTTTGAGTTTTGTGGAAAAATCTTAGTTTTTGATACTCTCGTGACTCCTTCCCTTATTCCAGGGCAGGTATTTATAATTAAAATATTAATAATAAAATAGATATTGACATAAAAATGTAAAAATAGTAATTCATAGCAACTAGGGCTTAATTAAAGAGCTGTGGTAGTGTTGATGTAGTGGTTAAGGCATTTGGCTGCTATTCAAAAGGTCGGTGATTCAAACCTACCAGCTGCTCTGCAGAAGATGAGGTAGTCTGCTTCCATAAAGATTTACAGCCTTGAAAACCCAATGGGGGTCGCTATGAGTTGGAATCAATTGGATGGCAGTGACTTTGGTTTGGTTTGAGAGGACTTAATTGGAATTTAAAACATCTTTTAGTCCAGACATTTATATTAAAAAATACAGCTAAACTACATTTGGTTAAAAAAAAAATTCTGAGGAGAAAATTCAACATTTCAATGTTTAGTCCCTCTGTAGAATAAACTCTTTTTGCTACTTTAGGTGGCCATAGAAAAAACAAAATCTGCTCTCCAAGGAAAAGTTAATTATTACTGTGATATTTATTATTGTTTTAAAAATTGCATTTCTGACTAAGGTTAATTCCTAACTAGAGCAAATTGATGTTTGATATGGGATATATGTTTAAACTATTCTTTTTGACCCAAATTCTTTCTTTTTTTAGATAAATAGAGCACATGTCACCCTCACATTAGATAAATTATTCCATTCAATAAATAGCTATCTTAAACTATTTACAATGATTTTAAAATAAAATATAATTGTAATTAATATGCCAGTACTTATTTTTCAGAGGAAATGCTTGCTACAAAATATGCACTCTGGTGGTCTCCTAATGGAAAATTTTTAGCATATGCAGAGTTTAATGATACAGACATACCAGTTATTGCCTATTCCTATTATGGAGATGAACAGTATCCTAGAACGATAAATATTCCATATCCAAAGGTATGTTGAATACTTTTAGCAGATGCTTTCATTTTCCTAGTGTCAAAATGAGCAACCATTACGATGAATAGAGGTGGGATCAACAAGTTTGGAGAGTTTCTTATCCTTGTGCATTGTAAGGCAAACATTGTACTGTGCTCTATTATTTATATGGACATCTGTTGCTTTGGACATCTGGTTTTACTGGATGAAGTAGTCTTTGCAGAATCTTTGAAGAACATATGGTCTAGATCATGGAGGAAAAACAAGCTTAACTTAATTTTATTTCTTTTCATATTTCATGCTCTAAATTCAGGGTAAAGTTCTGTTTTGCAATTTTTTCTTAAATTCTCATGATGTGGACTAGAATGGGAAACACAAATGTTGAACTTGATCTTCCTGCAGGTAAATGCAGATAGAATTAATCTTTTCTGGACATACAAGCAAGATAAACTCTGTGACCCTGAGTGTCTTCTTTCAGGGGAATTCTACACGGTATAAGCTCAAAGTTCCTTACATTTCTAACATTTTACAGTTCTTAGTATACATGCTTTTCAATCAATCAGTCTGGAGAGAGGTGACCTGTGTGTACAGTAGCAGAATGGCCAGATCACAGTGGAGAAGTATCATAACATCATTTCTTAGACAAAAAATTTTAAAGAGCAGTATCAAAGCATAAATTCTTCTCTTGCACAAGGACATACTAGAATGTGGCTCATTGTTCTTTAGTCCTTATTGTTTATGCTTGCCAAAGAGAGCGCTGCCACGATGGACCCAATGAATTCCTATATCTGACAACAATGAGATGGATGTGGCATGCACGTGAGTGGATTCTGAGGCAAGCGAAAGTGGTCATAGCTAGAAAAGTAGGAATTACAGATATTTTAATATTTATATTGGGATCATTGGTGTTTTCATGGTAGAGTTCTCACCTTATATCTGGTAGACATGAGTTTGATTCTTGGCCAATGCACCTTATGCACAGTTAGCATCCAACTGTCATTGGAGACTTGTGTGTTGCTGTGATGCAGAAGAGACTTCAGAAGAGCTTCCAGACTAAAACCAACTAGGAAGAAAGACCTGATGCTCTACTTCAAAAACTCAGTCAATGAAAACCCTGTAGATTACAATGGTCCTAGCTGCAACTGATCATGGAAATGGGACAGGGCCAGTTGTACTTTGTTTCATTGTGCATGGGCTTGCTGTGAATCAGGGGCCAACTAGAAGGCAGCTACCAACAATGGTATTTATGTTAAAAGCCATTTGAGAAAAGGCAATGGATAGGAGATGAGTAAGTGGTCTTTCAAGGGCTGTGTAGAAAGTCTGAAAGCTAGAGATGTTTCCAAGTAAGAGGTGTGATACTACAGACCCAAGATAGAAAAGAACTTGGATCTCTGAGAGAGTCTATTTGAGCAGGAAAAGATAAAGAAACCAGATCTGAAAAGTAACTGAAAATGATAGGGATGTTGGGGACCAAATTTTGCATGTTTCTTTGCAGACTGAAGTTGCTGAGAGAAACATCTGGCATTGGACTGAAGGGTAGGATGACTCCAAAGAACCAAGGAAGGCTGAGCCAAACTTGGGTGTGAAAAAAGGAGGTCCTAAAAAGGACTGAACAACTCTTTAGATGAATACGAAATCACTGAGTCATTTAAGACTATGTACCTAAACTTCACGGATTTCAATTTTAATACATTTGTAAGATTCTCTTCTTCTGTAGTTAAAGAGAAGCTGTCTGGGCATGAGCTATACTGTCATGTAAATTTCAGGCATATAGTAGCACAGAAAGCTTAAAACAAGAAAAGTGTAACTTCCCATGGACATCTTATTTGGAGGTGAGGTTTCTCTAATCTTTTGAGAATGGTACCAGTAGTACTATAACCAGCTAGGTGATTGTCCTCAATCCAATGGTAGGGCGAAAGCAAAAATATCTTTCATTTATTTCTCTTTCCACTCTTCTCTCAAAACTGACCCCACTCTGTACTCCCATTAGCACATAGCAAAAGGATTATTATTATAATTATCTTACTACTAATAATAGCTCTACCCTAGAAATCAGAAAAGAGCACTATCAATCACAGAATTATATTTTCATATCCAAAATATTTTTTCCCTGTAAATCAAAGCTCTGTTATTAAACATTTAAAATATGTGTTTTCACTCTGGTTGATGTAATATTTGTAATTGCCCTGAAGTAAAATTGAAAGGAAGTTCCTAGTCATGTTATGGATAGAATGTTTTCAAAAGGAGCATGGTCAGCATTACTAACATAAAAATATACCCAAATTCCTAGTTGAGCAATGGTTAAATGTTTGGCTGCTAACCAAAAGGTGGGCAGTTTGAACCTACCAGCAGTTTCAAGGAGAAAAAAACAGGTGATCTGCTCCAGTAAAGATTACAGCTTAGGAAACCCTATGGGAACAGTTGGAACTTTCAATTGGAACCAACTCTGAGGCAACAACAACAATTCCTAAAGTATTGTTAAAATGTTGGTGATAATTGGAATTTTATAAGATCATATATTTCCATTTTCTTGGCAGGCTGGGGCAAAGAATCCTGTTGTTCGGATGTTTATTATTGACACCACTTACCCTGAACATGTAGGTCCCACAGAAGTGCCAGTTCCAGCAGTGATAGCCTCAAGGTAAATTAATCTCAGATTCTTCCCACCACTCACCAAAGTGAATTTATTACACTTTAAAATTTCTTAATCAAGGTTTATAGAGCTTTTCTATTGAGTTTATTATGTTCATGCTATAAAACAACAAAATGAAATTATAAGACAAAATTAAAATATACAACTTTGAAAATCACACAGAAGTTTCTTAAAATGATGGTTAGATATTACACTTTCCACACATATAAAGGTGACCTCAATGATCAGTCTAAGTGATACTTTCCTCAGACACTCAAATTTAAATTTGGGACTGACAGAAATAATAAAATTTATACTGGTCCTCACCTTGACTTCTTTTAAGTCTGGCCTGCTTTCTCTCAAACTTAGGTTGTAGACCTATTCTTATTACATGTGTATGATAAATAAGAAATTCAACCCTTTCCAAATATTAGCATTTTTTTTTTCCACTGGGATGTAATCTATTCTCAATTATCTGGCTGTAGAATTATCTGTTTTGGGAATAACTATAGACAGACAAGGAGCTCTGTTGGTGCAGGGCCTAAAGCATTTGACTGCTAACCAGAAGACTGGTGATTCAAACCAGTGAGTCACTCCGTAGAAGGAAGTTGGGACAATCTCCATCTGTAAAGATTTACTGTCCTGGAAACCCAGTGGGGGTCACTTTGAGTCAGAACTGACTCAATGGCAGTTGAGTTTGGTTTGGTTTGTAGACAGACAGGGACCTGAAACATTCTCACTTCCACAGCATGATGTCCTATATAGGCCTTGTTTGATGAGTCCAGTTACAGCAACTTTCCAGGCCCCACCAACCTTCCTTCCAGCTACCACCAGTCCTCTGTTGTCATTCTGTTTGACGTCGATCATGGTGAGGGATTCCCCAGATGCTGCCTATGGGCCTCCTTACTACTTCCCAGCCCCTAACAGCCCAAAAAGTCCCTGTGTCATGCAAACAGTCTATGTGCTTAGCTGCTAATCCAAAGGTTAGAGCTTTTAGTCCACCTGGAGGCATCCCAGAAGGAAGGCCTGGCAAACTACTTCTGAACCACTGAAAGCTCTGTGGAGCACAGCTCTACTCTGACACATGTGGGGGGCTCATGAGTCAGAATCCACTTAACAGCAACTGGTTTTAGCAGCTTAAGCCTTGTCTTCTCTTCTGCCTTCTGAAAGAGAGTCAGCCAGGGCCAAAGATTGATCACTAACAAGAGAAAGAACTTCATTCCAGGCCCCTGTGGGGTTTTGTCAGGGTGAATCCATTCTTGGATAATCAAACACAACTGTGATTATTAAAAATCATTTCTTATTTACCCCCCCAATCTAGTTGAAGTCAAAATTTGACTGAATACAACATATATATAAAAAAAAAAATGTCATTCTCCTTAGGGAACAAAGGAATGGTGGAAAGAACATGAGAGAAAGAGTCAAGACATGTGTCTGAGTATCTATGAGTATCTATAAAATACTAGCAATATGATAGTAAGAGCTACCATTTTTTGAGCACTCACTTTGTAGCTGGCATAGTTCTTAAGTGCTTTGCTTGTCACTTTAGTTCACATAACTAGTTGTTGATAAAACCGGGACTTGACTTAGTCTCCTTCCAGCTCTGTGGGTTCTTTTACATTGATATCCAAAATTCTGTGGTTCATTTACATTGGTATTCTCTATCTACAAGTTTATCCTTAGAGCCAAGCAATCATTGCTGCCATTCATTGACACCCAGTATGTGCCAAACACTATTTGAGTTATTTCCTATACATCATTTCTAATTATGACACTAACCCCAATTTGAACACCTGCCCATGGTCACATCTAAAACCTAGTTTCAAACACAAACCTGCCCAGAGAGAAAGTTGGCTTTTCCACCATACTGGGCTTTCTCTCAACTAATTAAAAAGTGAAAAATTGAGTTTACCTATGCAAAGTAGCCAATTTAATGCTTTTGTGTATGTGTGCAGATTGACCAGTAGCTTTGGCCTTATGCCTTAAGTTCTTTCCTAAGACATGAATTCCAAAATGGAGAGAAAACTCAAGTATGAAATAATCTCATTAGATGAATGGACTCTTTATAAGTATTTTTTAAAATTCAGCAGATATTTTTAAAGTCTCTATCTAGGAATAGGAAAGCTTTGCCTTCTTCATCTACTGAATAAATATTCTATAATAATATACATTCTTTAGAAAGCAAAAATTAGAAAATTGTTTGAATGTGATATTGACTGATGATTGTGACTTCCTGTTTTGATTTATTTGCAGTGATTATTATTTCAGTTGGCTTACGTGGATTACTGATGAACGAATATGTTTGCAGTGGCTGAAGAGAGTCCAGAATGTTTCAGTGTTGTCTATATGTGATTTTAGGGAAAACTGGCAGATATGGGACTGTCCAAAGGTAAGTATATCACCACTGTGTGTTTCTAAAGATGAAAGCATGGTAATGGAACCTTAAATATAATTAGCATTTTGCATTATAAAACCAGGGCTATAGCTCTCAACTCCTGTTTTGCAAATAAGCACTTTATATTCACAGGTGTACTATTTTTAACAAATAACTAGGATATTTCTTGTATGTATGTATATTATATATTTGAGTCACTTCAGCCTTAAAACCTCAATAGAGAAAAATAATGAAGCAATGTGACATTGAGAGAATCAGACAACTGATTCTCAATTAGGATTGAAATTTATCCTTTTGAGATTATAAGATTGACAATAAAAAGAAAAAGAAAAAAAGAAAATGAAAAGATAAGATGGGTCTATTAGGGAAATTAGAGCTCTGTACAAAAGAACCAAAGAGAAAATGAAAGTGGGGCACATTCTATTCAAGGTCAAAATTGAAAAAGAAAAATTCCCAAAGAAATGAATATAGTCAAAAGAAAGCCAAATATTTCCATTCTAAAATCAAAAGTAGACAACTGCAAACATGGCATGAAATATCAGATCAAACAATCTTGTTATCTTAAGAGAGTGTCCCCTACTGTATTAATTGTGGGGTAGAGAACTAGGCAACAATTTATTGTTGGGTTTTAATTGTTTCTTTTGCTCAAATCCAAACATAGCCTTTTGAATTAATAAGTCAGAGGATGACTTCACCAGTCTAAAACTATAAAATAAGTCTGTTCATAAGTACTCATCTTAGAGACTAAGAAATACAAAATGTTTTCTTTAAATAGGAAATTTGATGAGTATATTTCAGGAGGCTTCTAATTATGAAAAAAAAAAAGTTTCATTAAACTAAACATAGAATAAGCCTATTTTATAAAGTAAAACAAATAACAGAGCAATCAAAGTAAACAACTAAATTCCATCTAGAAATTAGGACATTATGTTTTGCAAGGAAAAAGTCATCTGAATGTGTTTGGAAATATATCAGGACTGTAATAGTCAACATAACTCAGGCTAAAAATATTTTCTAAATCACTACTGTGTCTGTAAGAGGCTTGACTAATTTTGATGGGATATGCTAGAAGCTTATTTTTATCTTGTTTATATCTTGGTATACAACGCAGACAGAAGATTTTGGCTTTAATGCAGTAAGTATCATAGGCAGAAAAAGATAGACCAATCTTGAGTATGCTGGCTAATTAGAAACCATTGATCTGATTAGTCAGTTTTGGGTGAATAAATCTTTAACAGTCTCATTGAATTTGGGTATTGGAAACTACTGCATTAATTTTCTTAGCTTGAAAACTGTAAGATTGAACATGTAGTCATAATTTTTTACTCTTATACTAGGCAGTTAAAAACTCTTATTTCTTTGGAATTTGAAATTCTAATTTATCAAAATCTGAGACAACTTTACTCCAACTGACAGAACATTTAAGATGCTCATTCAATGAATTGTGGGATTCCCTGAAATATAGATTTTAATTTATGGCCCCAAAACAAAAAGATTAAACTTAGAATACCAGGTTGGGGTAACCTTAGAATTTCTAACTGATCTCTGTTTTAAGACAAATAATCTGACAAATCCATGGGATACAATTCATATTTAAGAACAGTTCAGTGTTGAATTATTCAACCACTTTATTGATGGTTGACACATTTGCATGTTCTGGAAAAAAAAATATTTAAGGTAATGTGACCTAACAACACTTCCTTCATGTTGAAAATCATACCCAAAACAAAGAAACAAAGACAATTGGCAATAGTTATTTATAAAATACCTCTATTAGTGATATTTATTAAGAAATTGGTAGTTTCAGGAAGAAAAGTAATTCACATCATTCTTCCTTTCAAAAGGGATTTAGATTAATTTTATCTTTATGGCTAAAAATAATGGATTAAAAAGTTTCACTGTTTTTTCAAATCTTGTCTTGTTCACTCTGAGGCATTGGCTTATGCCTGTAGGAAAGAAAAGTCAAACTGTTCTTAAAATTTATTATTCCCTTGCCTTTCGTGACCTCTCGTGGTTTTCCTTCTATTTCACTGAATGTTCTTTTTCTTTCCAGCTTTTCTTCTCTGACTCCTCTAGACATCTTAGTATTATCCAAGTTCATGTATTTTCAAGGGAGGCTAACAACAAAAAAAAAAAGCCTTCAATAAGTAAGTGAGTAAATAGAGTAGAAATTTATTACGCATGTGTGTAATCATCTACTAGTGTGTCCAGGTAATGGGGGTAGGATGGGGGATGTGGTACTATTCTCCATACAGTCATTTAGGAACTCAGGCTGATGACATTTCTGTTATCGTCATTCAGTGGTTTCCAATGCTTCCAAGGTTATTCAAACCTGAGCATCAACATCTATCTGGGGACTGGAAAAAAATAGGGAAAAAAAAAGAACAGAGGGTTCTGTATGAGAGGTTTTTATAGACTAGCCCTACGAGTAGCACTTGTCACTTCTGCCCATACTCTGCTTGCTAGAACATATCATATGACAACATCAAATTGGAAGGGAGATTAGAAAATGTAGTCTAGCTGTGGCCTTAGGAAGAAAAGGAGATGGTTTGCTGATGGCCTTGAGGTTTCTGTCTCAAGTCTCTCCTTTAGATGCTTCGGATGTTTTTTGTCTACACCAGAGGTTTCTGTTACCACTTGATAGTAACTCAAATTCATTTCTAAGGATTTGAACTTTTAATTGTCTCTGACTCCATCTGCTATGCTCTATCCTCACTAGCACTACCTTAACTTCAGTCTTTGTTATTCATCTTCCAAACGTTACAAGAACCTTCCAATTAATCTCTTTGCTTCCTTCCATTTTACCCATTTCTAATCCAGTCTCTGTAACATGTGCTTAATTATATACTCCAATTGTGAATTCAAAATCCTTCAAAGGCTTTACCTACAGGCTTAGTCTTCTTAGGATGTCATAGCATTTTCTCCAAGATCTTACTGACACCTACACATCTTCCCTTATCTTCTAACTCTTCCCCATAGTGACACTTCATTTCATTCATTTTAATCTTCTGAGCTTCCCTGGTCTCTATGCTGTTCATTCTACCTAGAATGTTCTTCTTTCTCCATTTATCTGTCTTTATCTGTCCTTTTAGGCTTAGTAGATATTTGTTAAATAAATGATCGATTATAAGATGAAGAAATAAATATCACAATAAGATTCAGTGCAAATTTTAAATTTCTAGCTATTTCATAAGACTGAGAAAAGAAAGAATTTAACTTAACATCACTGTAAAATTCTTTTTTACCTACCACATCAAGTACTTAAAGGAGCTCTGGTGGCACAGTGCCTAAGGCATTTGACTGCTAACCAGAAAGCTGGTGGTTCAAACCCACCAACCACTCTGCAGAAGGAAGACAGGGCAATCTACTTCCATGAACCTTTACCACCCTCAAAAACCCAAAGAGAGTGGCTACGAGTCGGTATTGACTTAATGTCAGTGAGTTTGGTTTGGTTCAAGTGCTTAGGTTGTGCTTGTCCTTGATAGATGTGATAACTCCAAGTGACCTCACAAAAGGCCAGAATCATTGTACATCTGTAATAAGATCCAGCATTTAGATTACCCGTGTATACATGATTTTGAATATTGTAATCTTAAATGTAAGCTTGAAGTTAGTTGACTAACAACAGTACACACTGACTAGGTAGGTTAACTGGTTCAAATTATCCTGATAATATTTAGAAAAAAAAAGTCTGTCCAATACTGTACTTGATATGATCTTTGTCTTTCAGACCCAGGAGCACATAGAAGAAAGCAGAACTGGATGGGCTGGTGGAGTATGATTTTGCTATCTTTTCCTTATATTTTAATGAAACTTGACAGATTCTCAGCTATCAAAGGACTATTTGAAATATATCCAAACTGGCACTACTTGTTTTCATAGAAAAATATCAAGGTAAAAAACAGCAAGTAATTTTGTGCCAGATAATTTTAATGTTTATATTTTGACAATTCGATTGAACATAAATCATTTTCCTCATGTCTTGATTTTAATATTTTTCAAATGACTGCCTGATAGCCATACTTAATTTTATTTCTTAAATACAATAAAGACTAGTCAAAAAGGAGCACTATTCCTGATCTGCCTAAAACCATCTACATAATTTTTAGATATTTGAATCCAGGAAGAAAGAGAAAAAATAGATTGAATATCCTTTGTAATTTAAAGTCAGTCTACCTCATTAAATTTTACACAGACTTAACTGAATTTCCTATGTATATATTCATTCCAAATTTTAGATAAGTTGGTACCAAATAAAAATATATATTTTCAATTGTTTTTGATCACTTATATATGGAGTTTGGGGGTAGGTTTACTCAGTGATTTATGAGGACTCTTAGTGGGGAAAATATGCTTTAGAAGAATATTGACTATCAAATAGCCTCTGGTAGCATAGTGCCTAAGACATTTGGCTGCTAACCAGAAGGCTGGCGGTTCAAACCCAACAGCCACTCCTCGAAAGGAAGGTTGGGTAATCTACTGCTGTAGTGATACTGCCTTGGAAACCCAAGGAGGGGTCGTTATGAGTCAGGTCTGACTCGATGGCACATAACAACAACAACAACGTATGCATGTTGCCACTTATCACAAACATAAGATCCAATTAACACTTAATGGGAAATAAAGTGTATCTAGGGGCTACATCTCTGAGATTTGGATACTTTACACAAAGAAAAAAGAGACTCTTAGGACCTGGATTAATATGTAAACCCATAATATCAGGAAAATAAAGATTTCTGAAGTCATTTGTAAGATAGCACAGATTGCAGAAATCCAAGCTTAAAGTTTCTAAGGAGAAAATAAATGGCAAAATAAAAATCTTCAGATATTAAGAATGCTTTGTTGCATACTTTTCTGGATCCAAAGATTTTGCACTCTGTCTTTAGTTAAGGAGACTTTGCTTTTATTCAGTAACTAGACAGTTATGGATCAACTCATCAGCAACTGGTTAAAGATAGTTATAATCAGATAGTTATAATCTGATTACTTCATTAATTATATATAGTAAATGTAAAATGAATTCTCAAGTAGTGAAATAATGAGCCTAGATGCATAATTAGGAGCTCTGGTAGCATAGTGCCTAAGGCACTTGACTGCTAACCAGAAGGCTGGCGGTTCAAACCCACCAGCCACTCCTCGGAAGGAAGGTTGGGCAATCCTACTTCTGTAGTGATACTGCCTCAGAAACCCAAGGAGGGGTCGCTATGAGTCGGGGCCGACTCGACGGCAAACAACAACAACAAGATGCATAATTCAGGGAAAAACATAGGAAAGTCCTATTTGAGTTCACTGAACTAAATAACAAAAGAAAAAACAGCAGTATGCAGTGAATGAACAAGATTCTCTCAATTTTCTGAAGCTTGATCAGTCAGAAAGTCACTGTCCAGAAAGATATTTCATAGATAGAATTTGAAAGTTTGAGGAAATGGAATGTTAATTGAATAATTGACTCCCATTGCAAACTTTTTCCAGTAAAGAATGAAGGGAAGGAAAAATGCTTGAAAACTTACTTTAGTTGTGTTTTCATGATAATGTTAATAGAATACTATGAATAGTTAATTTTACCTATATACCAGCAATGATACAGAAGAAAAAAAAAAACCCTCTCAAAAATATTACCTTGGGAAGTCTGGGGTAAGATGGCAGAATAGGCAAATAAACTACACAGATCCGCTTCAACAAACAAAAGGGGGAACAATTAATACAGATATAGAAGATAATCCTGGAGCCCTGAGCTTTGAAAGGAAGGATACAGAAGTGGACTAAACTTCAACTAGTAGAAGAACCTGCATGAAAACTCCAAAAAAGAGACATACAGAGCTGCAGTCTGCCAGTGATCCTGACAGCACGGACAGCTTGGATATTGCCAAGTGGTGTAAGGACTTAAGAATTAACTTAAAAATCAACACTGGTAGCCAGGGGCTACCTGGAGGACTGCACTGGTGGCCCATGAATAAAAGGGGAAGCAGCAAAGAAGGCAGGCTGAGCCTTGAACTTTTGCCTGTCCAGAGAGCGCAGCCATTTTGAATGTTTACAAGCAGTTTGACCATTTTGGATATTTAAAGTGACAGCCTTCTCTCAGATTTCAGAGACCTAAGAATAGGCTCCACTTGCCAGGAACCTCAAGGACATTCCAGACTCAGAGTACTGGAAAGGTGCGATATTGCCTTTGCTACTCTTATACCTTACACCCTCTTGGTGAATGGAGGTGCAGCCATCCTTCACTCTCACCCACCTTCTGGGCTGGCAGGAATTCCATCCCAGTCTATGAGCTCTGATGGAGCTTGGGTGCCCTGCCCTACCCTGCACAGATTTTTTTTTTTTTTTCCTTTTATTTTAGTCTGATTGTTTTTGTCTGTTTTAAAATTATTTTTATTATTATCATCATTTTTATTATTATTCTTTATCCTTCCCTTCCCAGGTTCTAGTTTTCAGCATTTTCTCTCTTCCTTGTTCCTGGTTCCCATTTTTTTCTCTTTCTTGTGGTTAACCCCATTCCTTGTTTTCCTTTTTCATTTTTCCCATTTTTTTCTTCATTATTCTCCTACTCTACCTCCTTTTGCTTATTTCCCCCTCCTGAGATATTGTGGGATTTTCTTTTCTTTTGTTTTTCTTTTTTTTTGTGATTGTTCCTGTGTGTTTATGCGGTGTGTTTTTTGTCCACTTGTTTTTCCTTTTTTGATAGTTTTTCTATTGTTGTTTTTGTCTAATTGAGTGGAAGACAGCAACCATGACCATATGATGCAACCACACCCATACCTCCTGCAGCTCCACTTACTCAGTGAGAGCCACCACTTCCTTCTCCACCAATTGGCCAATGATAAATGACCACCAAGAAGAGCCTAACTCACCCTTAACTGCTCTTCACAAATAGTTAGCAGAGATCTAAATACAACAATGTCATAATGTCTCAGAGACAACAGACCATCAATGTCCACACAAAGAAGCAAGATAAACTGGTAGAAGCAAGTGAGCAGGATGCAGACCCAGAACACATCCCTGAGGAAGAAGCAGCATTGGAACTCCCTGATATGGAATTCAAAAGAATTATACTTAAGTATAGTCAAAGGATTGAGAGACAGATCAAGGAAAACACTGACAAAATTAAGGAAAACACAGACAAAACCCTAGAACAATTTCAGAAGAAAATACAAGAATAAAATGACAAAATAAATGAAAAATTAGAAACAATACAAAATCTACAGATAGAAATCCAGAAGATTAAGACTAAATTTTCAGAAATAGATAACATATTAAAAGGGCAAAGAAGTAGAATTGAAACAATGGAAGACAGAATTAATGTAATTGAAGACAAAAACCTGAATATTTCTTTGGAAAGGGATCAGTCAGAAAAAAAGATCAAAACAAAATGAAGAAAGCCTAAGGTTCATATGGGATACCATCAAAAGGAATAACCTACAAGTTTTTGGAACTGAAATTTCAGAACAGGAAGAAAAAAATAAAACCACAGAGAATATTGTCAAAGATTTGTTGGAGGAGAATGTCCCTGATGAAAGCCGAGAATATATCCATTCAAGAAGTCCAACAAACCCCAAACAGGATAGACCCCAAAAGAAATTCACCAAGACATATCATCATCAAACTCACCAAAACCAAAGACAAAGAATCCTGAAAGCAGCACAGGAAAAATGAAAAGTTACCTACAAATGGCAACCAATAAAACTAAGCTCTGATTTCTCAGCAGAAACCATGCAAGTGAGAAAGCAATGGGATGGTATATATAAAACCCTGAAAGATAAACATTTCTAATCTAGAATTATATACCTGGCAAAATTGTCCCTCAAATAAGATGGTAAAATTAGAACATTTTCAGATAAGCAGAAATTAAGTGAATTTGTTAAAACCAGACCAACCTTACAAGAGATGCTAAAGGGAGTCCTTAGGACAGAGAACCATCAACAACTGACTATTAACACACATGATGACATAACCCAGAAACCAACCCAGTTATGGAAGTATACAAAGTAAATAAGCCTACAAGAGTATAAACAGGGAACCTGAGACATCGATTGGAAAATGAGGATAACTGCAAACCAAAAAGAGGAAAAAAATTGTGTAGTTACAGAACTTCTAAATGGTGAGGAAGTCAAGACAATAGCAAGATAGAACAGACTGTTCTAAAATTGGGAAGGAAATTATAAATCACAGGGTAACCTCAAAGAAAAATGATAAACCTTCACATCACAATAAAAAAGAAGACAAGCACAAATATTTAGCAGATACTAAAACAATTGGAACAAAGGAAGTGATAACACGATTCATAAACAAAATGAGCTCGACACAGAAAATTACATGGAATAAAGAAATCAGCAACACCACGAAAAAACACATAACAAAATGACAGCAACAAATTCATACTTGTCAATAATTACATTCAATGTCAATGGATTAAATGCATGACTCAAGAGATGGAGAGTGGCAGACTGGATAAGAAAACATATCCCATCAATATGCTGTCTACAAGTAACACACCTTACTAACACAAAAATAGACTAAAAATCAAAGCTTGGAAAAAGAGATATCAAGCAAATGGCAACCATAAAAGAGCAAGAGTGGCGATATTAATTTCTGATAAAATTGACTTTAAGACAAACACCACCATACGAGACAAGTAAGGACATTATGTCATGACTAAAGGATCAATTGAACAAGAGGACATAACCATAATAAATATCTATGTACCCAGTGAAAGAGCCTCAAAATACATAAATCAGACTTTAACAGAATTGAAAAGACAAATAGTTGTCATACTAA